TACCATCTTGAAATTTACCACTTCAAAAACTGACCTCATCCCCCCAAACCTGCTCCACCCACAGACATCCCCATTGCATTTGATGGGAACTCTATTCCCCCAAAAATCTTGGAGGCATCCTCAACCCCTCCTCTCTCACTTCACATCCTTTCTATCAGGACATTTTATTAACTCTACCTTAAAACATATTCAGAATCCAGCTCCTTCTGTCCATCTCCACTGCCCTGATTCACCCACCACCCCCTTTCTGGGATTGCGGCAATTAGCTCCTCACTAGTCTCCCTGCCTCCACCCTTGCTTCTCTCACCCACTCTCAATACAGACAACAGAGGAGCCTCTTAAAACAAGAATCAGATCTTGTCCTTCCTCTGCTCAAAACCTTGCAATGGCTGCTCGTATCACTCAGTAAAAACCAAAGTCCTTACCCTGGCTCCCACGGCCCCCCACCACTGGCTCACCTCATCCCCCTTTCCTTGCTCCACGTCTTTTTCATAGGACTTACCACTTTCTAACATACAGTGTGATTTACTTATTTGTTTTATTTATAATTTACAATGTATTGCCTGCCCCTCCCCCTGCTCCCTGGAATGTAAACTCCAAAAGGGCAGGAAGTGTTGTCTACTTTCTTCACTGATATATCCTAAACACCAAGCACAGTGCCTGGTACAATATTTATTGAATGAATGAATGAATGAATGAGTATATGATCTCTAGTGCTGAATATGTGAGATAAGAAATGAAGAGAAGGACAGATTCAGGGCAGGAGGAAGAGGGAAGGAAAAGAAGGGGGAGTCCTTCTAGGGTTGCAGGGAAAATTCCCTGGTCCTTCCAGCTCCAACAGCATAGCCCATAATCTGTGGCTAGAAGTTTCTTGAAGACCAAAATATCCAGGCAAATCATTCTTTTGAGAAGGCAGAAATGAGGCTGAACAGTAAGAAGGGGCTTATGAGGTAGTTCTGGGTCCAAATCCAGAACTCATCACTGTCTGTCATTTCCCGGGTGACTGAAAGCCCGTTCGCTGATGTGGGGCATTGTCACCTGTCATCTCCAGGTTCTGGGAGGGAAGTGGGGGTGAAGCAGCTCTTCATGTCCTCTGAGGGGTAGGGCTGAAGTCTTTTCTTGTGTCCTCTATGGCTCAGGCCCCCTCCTGCGCTTGCCCCTTCCTTCTTAGGGTAGCTCACAAGCATCAGAGCATGGGGTTCCAGACACCGTGGCTGGCCACATCCAGCACCCCCAGGCCAATGCCCCTGGTCGCCTCCACTGGTGACCTAGTCACAGGATCCCCTTGTGAGTAGGATAAGGGACAGAATAGGAATACTGGGGGGTTGAACCCAGAGGCCCCTCACGTTGAAGACCAAGACAAGAAGGAGAAGGGGAGGATCTGCACCAAGGACCATGACCTCTCCCAACTCTGTCCAGGTGAAGTTCACCCAACCCTCTTCAACAGACTCCCTCTTTGTTCCTGCTCCTACAACCCATTTGTTGGACATCTTGGACTCAGCAGGGCTCCAGGAGAAAGTGGCCTCACTCCTCCTCACACTGCCCTTTCACATAAGCACAACCAAATAAATCATCCCTCCTCACAGGTAATAACAAACCTATTATTCACGTAATAAAAAATGTGCTGTCATTCGGTAGGTTCCCCTTCCCCAGCTGGGACCAGCCTTGGGTCAGGAAACCTGCGTGGGGCTGAGTGGTCAGCGGGCTTCGTGGCCTCACACCCCCTTGCTCTGCATTCACTCTCCCTCTCACCCCACCTCTGGCTTGCCCCAAGATTGGAATTGAGGGAAGGGATGGGGACAGAGTTTCCTACCCATTTTCTTTCCCCCCTGTCCACTTCAGTGAGACAGTGGGAACCAAATGGTGGGTGGAGACGTCCAAATATAATTCTTTCAAGATGTACTTTTGTGAGTTGTTCAGAGATGTCCCCCCAGGGAACTCCAGGCTGTAGTTCTGAGCAGCCAGCCAGCCCTTCACCCTGCCCTTGACTGCATGTTAGTGAAAATTCCAGGGACCTGTGTCAGCTTGCTGAGGGTCCTCTCAAAGCTCCTTAGTTATCCTGAGGTGGACAAAGCTCCTCTTCCCTCCCCTGAGCAGCCCATGCTCCGAAGAAGTCCCCACTCTAGTGTCGTATGATTTATCACCCAGCCTCTCCTTATACAGTGTTACGGCAGGCATAACTATCTTTGGCAGAACTAGCCTTTGGCCATCCCCGTTGCCCGTCCTGAAGATGGTCTAGCTCCTTGGTTTGCAGAGATGCTGTTTTTAAATTGGTACTTATTAGATTGCTGGTGGAGTTGAACAGTTGCCCTGGATTTGTTCGCTGTGTTGTCTATTTTGTGATAAACAATGAAGAAGTTGTTGTTTTAAGAAAGTTCCATTTTTGTAGGATAAAAATAAAAACAATGTAAGTGTAGGCTCGTGCTTTATTTATACCTCGGGTACCCCCATTATAAACAACTTAGGGCTAGCTCCTCAAGTTAGTCACCACTGTGACATCTGAGCACACTGCCCAGGAGGGGAATCACAGCTCCGAGTTATGAGCCCTTACTGGGAGCCAGTGCCCCACATGCCTTCCTAGGGCATCCATTTTACAGATGAGCAGGACAGGTCTGATATTGTTTAAGGGCTTCCTTATGTATTTTTCTCTCTTCCAGTGGTCTGTCTCCTTCCCATGCAGCTCTGCCCCTTATCAAAGCTGGAGCCTAAGATTTGTTGCCTCGAGGCAGGAGCCGGAGGGATTCCAGCTGGAAGAAAGAAGACCATGTGCCCAGGGAGGGCTGAGGTTAGGAAAGTCCCTACAGAAGGAAAGGAGAGGAATGCCTCCCCTTATGACTTGGTGGGTGGTGACTAGGAAAAGGGGGAGAGGGCAGGAGTTGAGATGCCAGGGTCCTAGCACCCCTATGCCCTCGGCTCAGAACTCTGAGGCACGGTGGGAATGGAGTATAGAAATCCCAGGTATGTTTAGAGATTCCTGGAGAAAAAGGGACCATGACCTGGCTTCCTAAGGTGTTCAGAAGGGGCCACACAAAGGGGCCATGTCCAGTCTGGCTTCTGAGCAATAGATCAGAAATAGTGAAGAATTCAATATCTTCAGAAACCAGTGACTGTGGTTCTATCTGGAAGCCTTATAAAAGACACTTCAAATCTTGTGAGTACTGAACCCTGTGGATGCCTGTGGTAGCTTAATTACTAAAACGTCCATAATTCTTTCCCCCCTCCCTGTATCCAGGTCTTTTGCAATAGGACTCTGATAGCTCTTCTTATCAAGAGGTGAAGTCTGTTTTCCATTCCTTCAATCTGGTCTGGTCTTGAGACTTGCTTTGGCCAAAAGAATTTGAAAGAAGAGACACTGTACCTTGCAACTTCTGCTCTCTCTCTCTCTCAAAACTGCCCCTCTCATGTAAACACATCCAGACTAGCTTCCTAGAGAGAGAGCGACCACGTGAGGAGAGCTGAGGTGGCCCCAGTGGCAATCAGCCCAGTCCAGCCCAAAAGCAGAATTACCCAGCCAGCCCGCCCCAGATCTCAAGCACACGAGCAATCCTCACATCAGCTGAGAGAAGAACCGTGGGGCTGAGTCCAGATAAAATTATCAACCCAGAGAATCATGAGCAAAATAAATGATTATTGTTTTAAGCCCCTACATTTTGGGCTATTACACAGCAATAGCCAACTAATACAATACCTTACCCTAATAAATAAGATCAATTTTAAGCAAAACTTGAGAAAAAAAAAAGAAATAGCTGAAAAAGGAATACAGATGAACAGGTGATTCAGAAGCCTCCCTGGGAAGATGACATGGAGGTATTGAAGGTTTGGTAGAATTTTCTAGAACTGTGGTCAGTCGAAGGAGCTATAATATGTGGGTCTTCTCAACATAACAAGTAGAAGGAGCAACGAGATTTAGCAGTGGGGCTAAAGGGCCAGGTAGGACAAGCCACAGCTTAGCTGATCCAGTGCAAAGCACTTGGGGGCCAGACTGACCAAGAGAAATGGCAAACACCAGACCCCAAAACAGGACTAAGACTGAAAGCCTGCCATCCTGCCCAGAAAGAAGCATGTTCCCTCTGCACCCAGGAGCCTCTGGAGTAGGAAGGAGGGAGGGATGCACTGCAAGCTTGCACCTGTTCATCTCTTTTGGCAAAGAGTAAGTTAATTTGGAGAGAATGATGGTGGCACACACAATGCTTACTCCACCCCACACTTGCACACTTGTATTGTTTTTCCTGTTTACATTTCAGAAAACTGGGATACAAAGTGCTCAAATGATTGTCATGATCAGGTAAAACCAAGACTTGAACCCAGGCAGTGCAACTGAAGAAGCTGTCAGGACCTGCAAGAGCCTGGGATTGTTTTCGTTGGCAAACTTGGGCTTTTCCTTCCTGACAGCCAGTCTGGGAGCTCCTGAGGAAGTTTAGATCAGTTACAGAAAATTAACATGCCACAAACCCAAATTTTTATGCAATCCTAGTATGTTCCATTTGGACTCCAGGAAACGGGGTTTAGAGAGTTGCCCCCAACTATACATTCAGGAATGGGGTTTGTGCCCTCCCTGCACTGCCAAAAGGAGGCCTCCGTAGGTCTTGCTTTATAATGAATCCTTCTCAGGCCAATGTCACCTGATCTACTTCCTGCATATTGTGGATGATGGCTAATAGGGTTAGCATTTACATATGCAAATTGCACTGCAAATCAGTAACATTACATATATACTGAGCCCTCACATGTGTATCTCATATAATCCTCACAACACCTTTCTGCAGAGGGGATTGCTACTGTCCCCATTTTGCAGATGAGGAAACAAAATTTCAGAGATGGCAAACGAGTTTGAAAGGTCACACAGCCAGGAAAAGGCAGACCCAATACTTGTTCCAAAGTCTGGTCAACTTGGGCCCACACTATGATGGTCATGTTCATCTCCTCCCTGAGTGTCAAGGACAGAGCCTGTGGCAAGGGGTCATTAAGACTTTGACAGGGATTACAGGAACAACCGTGCCGACACGGAAGCCGGAAACCCCTCCAACAGGCTCCTTCCTCTTTGCACCAGCTGTTATCTTGCTGTTGTGAAAACACTTCCTTAAGTAGCCTTGCCCACGAGATGCAGAAAAGGCCTTGCTCACTGGCCCTAACGTAGGCTCCAACATCCACCAGAGAGAATAGTGGCCAGTCTTGGGGACCACCGTGGGCATGTGTCCCCTGGAGATGCCCACCCCTCCCTACCTGACCCAGTCACCTCTCTGCTCCTGGCTGTTGGCACTGTTCCTTGTCCTCTCAGGTGAGTGATCCACCCCTGGCTGATTCCAGAGAGGGGCAGCAGGGGCTCTGGCATGCCCAGAGGGCTCCACACCACCAAAGTGGAGCGGAAGGGGGGAGCTGAGAACTTTCCTGAGCCTGGCAGAGCTCAGACCAGCGTCCCAGGAAGCAGGACTTCTTGGGAGGCAGCACAGTGAAGGTAAGCTCCCAGGCTCTGGGCTCACAAAGCCTAGGCTCTCGCTGAGGCATGGGTGTGCCCATGTCAGATGCCACTTCAGTCTCCTCTTCTATGAAATACTTTGTACCCCTTTTGTCTGCTGTCTTTTATACAGCATAATTATTTTGATATTCATTCATGTTGTGTATATCAGTAGCTCGTGTCTTTTCATATCTATCCACTGTATGGATAAACCACAGTTTGTTTTCCATTCACTTGTTGACAGACATTTGCGTTCTTTGTAGTTTGTGGATGTTACAAATAAAGCACCTATGAACATTCATGTGCACGTCTTCCTGTGGAACTATGTTTTCATTTCTCTTGGGAAAATACCTTAGAATAAAATGACTGGATCATATGGTAGGTGTTTGTTTAACTTTTTAAGACACTGCCAAACTGTTTTCCAAAATGGTTGTACCATTTTACATTTTCATCAGCAACATATGAGGATGACTTTTCCTCCATATCCTCACCAAACACTTGGTATAGTTACTCTTTATAATTTTAGTCATTCTAATAGGTGTGTGGTAGTATCTCATTGTTGTTTCAACTTGCATTTCCTAATGTGTAATGATGCTGAACTTCTTTTTAGTAAAGCATCTGTTCAGCTCCCATTTTTAAATTATCTTATTGCATTTTGATAATTCTTTATATATTCTGGTTACAAACTTTTATCAGATATATGCTTTGCCAAGATTTTCTTCTACTCTATGGTTTGTCTTTTTATTCTTTTATGAGTGTCTTTTAAACAACAGAATTTCTTAATTTTTATCAATTTATCAATTTGTTCTTTTACTGATCATGATTTTTGTGTTCTATGTAAATAAATGGTAGAATTCACTAATGAAGCCATATAGACATAGAGTTTTCTTTGGGAAGGTTTTTAACACAACTTGAAATTGAAAACAGATAATAAGGGCTATCCAGGTTACCTGTTGCTTCTTGGGGTAGCTTCGGTAGTTTTGTTTTTAAGGAATTTGTCCATGTTCTCAAATATACATAGTTGTGAACATTTTTTACAATATTCCTTTATTATCCTTTTAACATATGTAAAATTGGTACTGGTGTCATCTCTCTCATTCCTGATTTTAGAAATCTAAGTTCTCTCTCTTTCTTTCTCTCTTCTTAATATGGCTAGAAGTTTATCGCTGTCATGATCTCAGAGATTTCATTCTTATTTCTCTGTTGCTTTTTGTTTTCTACATTGTTGATTTAAACTCAGATCTTTGTGGTCTCCTTTATTTTACTTAATTTTGATTTAATTTGCTCTTTGTCTCTGGTTACTTAAGGTGGAAACTAAAGTCACTCATTAAGTCCTTTGTTCTTTCCTAATACAGACATTAATGCTATAAATTTCTCCCTACTTTTGCAGCACCCCACAAATTTTAATATTGTGATTTCATTTTCATTCAGATCAAAATACTTCTTAATTTCCCTTATATTTTATCTTTGGCTCATATATTATGTGTTATTTAGAAGTGTGTTATTTAGCCTTCAGATATCTAGGGATTCTCTAGGCATCTGTTACTGGTTCCAATTTAATTCCATTGTGGTCAGAGATTATGCTTTTCATGACTTGAATTCTTTTTAATGTATTAAGATTTTCTTTATGACTCAGAACCTGCTCTGTTTTGGTAAATGTTCCCTGTGCACTCAAAAAGAACTATATATCGTACTATTTGGTGGGGAGGGGTGTAAAGGGTTCTACAAATGTCAGTTAGATTTTCTGCCTGATTTTCTGTCAACAATTGAGAGAAGGACGTAGAAATCTCAGACTGTAAATGTGGATTGGTCTGTGTCTTCCTGCACTTCTATTGGTTTTTTGCATCATATACTCTGAAGTTCTGTCATTAGGTGCATAAATGTTGGGGATTTGTATGTCTTCTTCATTAATTTACTCCTCAGTCATTATGAAGTGACATTCTTTATTCCTGGAGACAGTCTTTGCTCTGAAATCTACTTTATCTTATATTAATATAAGCACTCCAGCTTTCCTTTGATCAGTATTACTATGCTATATCTTTCCCATCATTTTTCTTTTAATATATTTGCACCTTTAATAGTTAAAGTGAATTTCTTGTAGGCAGCAGATGGTGGTTCTTACTTTTCTATCCAATCTGATAATCTCTAACTTTTACATGGGTTATTTAGACCATTTACATTTTTTTTGAGCATGTGCATCTTGCTATCCATCTGTCTCTATATGTATCTCAAATACCTTTTGTTTTCTTGTCCTTTTTCTGCCTTTATCATGTAATAGGTATGAACCTTATATCATAGTATTTAAGTACTGTTACATTTAGACCATTTACATTTAAAGTGACTTTTTATATGATTAGGTTTAGATCTATTACTTACCTATTTGTTCTTTGTTCCCTTTTTATATTTTTCTGTCTTCTTTAGGATGTTAAATATTTTAACAATGCTCTCTTATCTTCTTTGTTGGCTCATTAGCTATAACACTTTATTTTGTTTAAAACCTCACAATAGAATGTTATGTTTTATCATTTTGGGGCCTTGCTTTCCGGGTTTGCTAGGGGGGGCCAGAGCACTTCTCGCTGAGCAGAGGGCTCTCTTTGTGTTGTCCGTCCATTGCCCTGTTGGGTCATGAGCTTTGCCAGTTTGGCTGGAGGGAACAGGCAATTAGCCTTAGCCCTGTGTTGAGTGGTAGGTGCTGCTCAGGCATGTGGGTAAGGAAACTACCCAGGACTGGGAAGCAATTACCAAAAAGGATCACAAAGAACAGGTCTGACCAGGCTCAAAGCGTGGCATTTGGGTGTGGGTGTAGCTGAACTCTGGGAACCAAGGACCCACGGACAAAAGGAATCCCTAGAATTGAACCTGGGGAATCACCAGGTCACAGCTGTGAAGCAGTTCTTAGAGACTGAAAGCACATGCCTTGCTGAAGATAGGCAGGAAAAGAACTTAGAATTTCACAACCCTTCCCGAGGTCCTCTTAGAAGGGAATGCTTGCTTCACCTCCCTACTCCCCAACCTCAGTCGAAAGAGAAACACCCTAATAGACTGCAAATGTACATCTTGGAATGAAACTGAGATATTCACAAGCCCTTGTGGTCACACAGACCAAGGGAAACTGAGGGCATAAAGCTGATGACCTTGTGTTGAGCAGAACTTTAAATCACCTGATGTGAATTCAGATCCAGGCCACGACACCTACTGAGTGTTTGGTCCACCTCATTTTCTTCATCTCTCTGGTCATTAGTTTTTTTGTCTAAAAAATGGAAATAATAGCACTTCCTCAAGGAATTCTTGAAGGGACTACCTGCCACACTGTTCATAACCCAGGTGTAAAAGAACTTCCGAGGGATGGCTCAGCCCACTGTCTCTGTGCCAGAGTGAACAGTTCAACCTATCCCCAAAACAGGCCCACTTCGCAGTGCGTGCATTCTGTTGATGAATTCACAGGAGGCAGGGAGGGTGCCTACACTGAACACCACAGCACAGGAGCTCTGTGTGATACATTTGAGGGTTGGGCAGGGGCTCCAGAAACAGACTGCAAGGCTCTATCACATTCTTGTTGGGTGATGCATTCCTTTGTTAGGGCTGCTGTGACGGTGTACCACAGACTGGTGGCTTCAACACCAAAATTTATTTTCTCGTAATTCTGGAGGCTGCAAGTCTAAGATCAAGGTGTCAACAGGGCTGGTTTCTTCTGAGCCTCTCTGCTTGGCTTGTAGATGACATCCTCTCCTCTGTTTTCACATGGTCCTCCCTCTGTGTGTGTCTACGTCCTAATCCCCTCTTCTCATAAGAACACCATCCATACTGAAGTAGAGCCCACCCTTACAACTTCATTTTTACTTAGTCACTGCTTTAAAGACCCTATCTCCAAATGCAGTCACATTCAGAGGTATGGGGCATTCGGGCCCCAACGTGTGAATCTGGGGTAGGAGGAGATACAATTCTCTAACCTGTCTGGGCTCTCAGTGTCTTCTGTGTGAAACAGGACTAATGCTGCCCACCTCACAGGAGCACTGGGAGAGGTAAACGCAGTAATACATGCAGCACCTGGCACATAATGAGCATGCAGTGCCATCTATTATTTGCAAGTTCCCCATTCAGTAGCTCTGTTCTCTCTCCAGCCAACCACCTCATCTCTTTCACGACCATCTCCAATGACATCCCTCGAGTGTTCTTGGCCAGCTAGTGGCTAGATTGTGTTGAGCTTGCCTCTTAGAGCTCCAAGTCCTTCCTGTGCAGCAAAAGGCCTTCCTTCCTCTCTTGCAGGAGCCTCTGAGCAGAGCAGTGGGAGTGAATGGCAGGTGCTGCAGCCCGAGGGCCCCATGCTGGTGGCAGAAGGTGAGACACTCCTCCTGAGGTGTACTGTAGATGGCTCCTGCATTGGTGACATGATAAAATGGGTCAAGGTGAGCAATCAGGACCAGCAGGAAATTTATAACTTCAAACATGGCTTCTTCTCCGGGGTGACACCAGCGATCCAGCAGATGGAGCCACTTAACTGCGATTATTCCATCTATATCCACAATGTCACCAGGGAGCATGCTGGAACATACCACTGTGTGGGCTTCAATGGCTTGAGTGAGAATTCAAAGAAGAATCTGGATGAGGGCACCTCAGTGCTTGTGAAAAGTGAGTATCAGGTCCTGTGGTTCATGTCATTCTGCTCTGATCTATTCCCCCTGCATTGGTCACCTTTATCCACAAAGTCTCAGTGGCTACAAAAATAAGTGTATCTCACTCACATATTTGCAGGCAGCTGGGGTGGTTCTACTCCACATCTCATCCCAGGGCCCACGTCTTATTCCAACTACCCAGAGTACATTTTTGCCACAAAAATGGCAGAAGCAAAGAGGACAAATTCCCACACCCCAACCATATTTCAAACTTCTAATCATGCAATGTAGGCTGACAGCCCATTGCTACAGCAAGTCACATGGCTAAGCTCAATGTCAAGAGACAGGGAATTGTACACTGCCACAGTGAGGCCATGGCAAGGGTGTGAGCTATACTGCTCTACCAGAGGGGAGTCAAGAGCTGGGGCTGAGCATTTCATGGACCATACTCCCCCAGTTATCAGTCATGCGAAGTCCAGAGTTCACCCAGATAACTCAAATCCAGGGTCTGTCATAAAATAGGACTCTATTCTTAAATCAATCCCTTCAGCTCTATATAGTACAAGTGCTTAACTTGTAAAATAGGCAAGATAATTCCTCCTTCAGGGGTCATTCAGGTGATAACACGGAAGAATGGATGTTTGTAAACCCCCCTGTAAACTGGGGATAGGGAGAGCACTGGCAGGAGGTGGGGTCATCTCAACTTGATGCAGGTGTTTCAGGAGGCCTTCTCAGTCTCCCTCCAAGCTGGGACTCGTGTCCTCTCTTGGTGCAGCAGTCCTCTAGGTTTCCAACTTTAGGGGGATTTTTCTAGACCATCACTACCACCAGGCTGAGATCTTCTTCCGGGCAGGACATGTGGGTGTCTTGCTGAGCTTCATTTCCCCAATTCTAGCACCTATACACAGGGTGCCACACAGCACTGAGCGCTGCCTTGTGGGTAATGAGGGAATGCGGAAGGGAGCGGCTGAGCAAAGAAATCAGGGAAGGCAGAGGGAGGGAAGATATGAGGTAGGAAATGGGTGGACGATGGAGGAAGAGAGGGAATCCAACAAAGCTCTTCTCTTTGGCTTTAGGAGCTGGGGACCCAGACCTCTGGATCACCCAGCCCCAGGAGCTGGTGTCGGCAGCCACTGGGGACACTGTACTCTTGAACTGCACAGTGCTTGGAGATGGTCCCCCTGGACCCATCAGGTGGTTTCGGGGGGCTGGTCTGAACCGGGAGGCAATTTACAACTTTGGAGGCATCTCCCGCCCCAACGTGATGGCAGTCCAGGCCTCCAGCAGTGACTTCAGCATTCTCCTGCAAGGTGTCACCACTGAGCATGTGGGCACCTACTACTGTGTGAAGTTTCAGAGGAAATTCAACAGGCAGTACCTGTCTGGACAGGGCACCAGGCTGAGAATGAAAGGTGAGACGGGTGGTCTTAGAAGGTGTTGGGGGAGAGAGGGAGGTAGTCCACAAGGAATTTCATGTCCCAAACAAGCCAGCTTCTCTCAGCCTCTGTGCCTTTACGTAAGCTGTTCCCTCTGCCTAGAATGCTTTCTCCTTTTCTCTATAGAGGCCTCCTACACATCCTTCAAGGCCCAGCACAAATTTGACTCCTCCTCTGTGAAAGCTTCTCCTTCTCCCAGGCAGAGTTAATGTTTCCCCATTCTGGGCTCCACAGATCTTTGGACAGACCATTAATGACTCAACAAACATCTTGGCTGCACCACACTGTGCCGTGTGCTGCAGATAGTACAACCATTCAGACATTGTCCTGCCCCAGAGATGCTTGAGCAGGTCCAACTAGTCCTTCATATTACAGGGTTTGACTTCTGGCCCCCATCCCAATTAGGAACTGACAGACCAGTCTCAGTGACCCCAGCTTCTAGCACAGGGCTCAGGACATGGTAGGACAGAAGAAAAGAAGCATATAAGACCACCTCTCTCCCTTACAGCAAAGCCTAGTTCTCCCCAAGAGGCAAAACTCGCCAGTGAACGTGTAACCAAGATATTTCCATCAGGTGAGTGTACCTACCTCCCATGGAGGTAACTAGTCCCCCATATGCAAGGGAACCAAAGATGGCTTGGCCATGGGAAGAGAGTGGTCCCAGACTTCCAAGGTCTGTCTGCCACCAAGAAAGTTCCCAGGATTCCATCACATCTGCAGAACTGGGAAACCTGAGAACCGTGTAAAGTTCAATCAAAGAAAGGACTTTCTAACTTCCAGCACTACTACCTTCAGTGAGCAGTCTTACCTGAGAAGTAGTGAGCATTTTATGATTCCTTGTACGGATGCACTATGAAGCTGTAATAATGCTAAAGAACATGGCTTGTACCCAGGCCAACTGGATTGAGCACCTTTCCAAATGTGTGATTGTGCACAGGTGGTCTTACCCCTTGAATCTCTGGTTTTCTGCACTCTGAGCTAGTGGGGGGAGGGGCTGAGAACCTGAGAGCCTATCCCTTGGGTTGTGTATCCTCCAGTGACCAATCACACATACCCAGAACTATGCCTGTCACATCACCAGGTAACATTCAGGGCACTCCGTAATGGCTGTGGTGGGAGGGGTTGGGATAGATGTGGTTAGCTTAGCCTCGCTAATCTACCTGATACTCAACCCTGTTCCTGCCATTCTTGGGAGCCTGACCACCTGGGGCCACCATTTCTCTGACTCATGTGACCCTGAGCAAAGCACTTCTCCATTCTGGCCCACTTAGGGTCTGTCTCCTCATCTATACAAACTGGATTCTTATCCTACCTTGCAAGATAAGTTTGAGGATTATATTAGGTAATTAGGAAGTGCTTAGCTCAGGGTCTGGGGCAGAGGAGCTGAGCAGCCAATAAATGAAAGCAGTTTTCTGTTATTATCAGAGGTCAGGGATGCTGGCAAGATGATTAAAGGTAGAGATAGGCCATAGGACAAAGCCTCTTCAGGCGCAGGACAGAGGGAGGGAAGGTCTTTGATCTCCTGTCCTAGTGTAGAAAGGCTGTGGACCCAGAGGTCCTACAGCAGCTGGGCCCGACCTTGCCACAGGGCTCTGAGATCTGGGCTCTTGGGGATTCACCAGGGGTCCTTCCTAAGCACTCCCCTGTGTCCCCCAGGCCTCCTGTCTGTGCTCACACATGTTGTCCTGGGGCTGAAAGCAGTGACCTTGGCTGTACTCCTGCTGGCCCTGGCTGCCTGCTGGAGGAGCCGTTGGCAAGAAGACATCAAGACCTCAGGCCCAGCAGTGCTGTGCTCTCCCTAGCAAGGCGCATGGGGCCTGGATCAGGGGTCAGCCCTAGAGTGGATCCTCTGAGTCAGAAAGGGGCATGGGCTCTACAATCATTTCCCTGCCTGCACTCCCAGCTTCCAGATTTCCCCAGGCCTCACAACAAACTCTTAGATCCCTGTGCCTGGTTTTTGGTTCACCTGGTAAAATTCCACACTTGGCACTGAGCTCCCCCTGATGTGCTGTCCTCTCTCTTCACAGACTAGTCAAGCATTCCTTGTCCTTTCCTGGGTGTCTCCTCAAGGCCCTTGCTCCTGATGTGGCCCTTTCTGGAAGGCCCACACTTTTCCTATCCACTCCACATTTTCTTGTCCTTCAAGGTCCACCTCAGAAGGGTTCCCTAAATGTGTCTGAGCTCCACCCCCAACACCATCTGTACCGCTCCACTTACATCCTCTGTCCTTCTTTCTTGCCTTCTTCCCTTCCACACTGTGGCTGACTTGCTTGGCTGTAATAGAATGTGTTGACAACTTTAACAAAACTCTTAAATAACAGTGGCTTAAACCAGAAGCTTTATTTCTCTAATAATACCCCAGCATAAGCAGGCCAGGCAATATGGGGACTCCCTGATATTGAGACCCAAAATTCCTTAATTTTTTTGCTACCAGGTCCATGTCCTGGCAGCAAAACTCAAGTAGTGAATGGGAGCAAGACCCTTCAGGGACGCTAGGAATTTGCCCACATCACCTCTAATTGGCTAGAATGTAGTCACATGTTCACACCCAGCTGCAAGGAAGGCTGGGAAATGTAGTCTATTCGGGCAGCAACATGCTCAGCTGAAATTTTTCACTACTAAATTAGAGGGTAAATATCAGTAGATGACCAGTAATTTCCACCGCAGTGGCATGGAGGCAGCCTCTTACTTGTTCTGTGTGACACCTGAGTTCAATTCCAAGCTGAAACAGCACCTGTCTGTACCACCATCTCCAACAGGACCGCACAATGGAGAGCTGTAGTTCTCAAGAAGAGGAGGTTCCCCCCACTAGGAGACACTTCCCAATGCCTAAACACCTTTTGGTAATCACATCTCAGGTGGTGCTAGTGCCATCTAGTGGGTAAAGGTTAAGGATGCTGCTAAACATCCTAGAATACGCAGGGCAGTCATTGACAACACAGTTGTCTGGCCCAAACTATCAGTAGGGCGGAAGTTGAGAAGCCCTAATATAGGGGAAAGCGTGCATTCCCTAGGGATAGTCACGTCTGACTTCTAATCCTGAAGCCCCCCACTTCCTCCCTGTGCACCCTTGGCAACTAATCAGTCACTTCACCTCTCAGACCATCAAGGACAATAACAAGAACTGCTCTGTGTGTACCATGAACATTCAGTACCTGTGAGCTCCCTTTTCTCTTTGCACATGACCATTTATTAGAACCTACTATGTGGGGAAGTATATTAGTCTGGAAGTATTTCATTATAACAGAAAAACAGCTTGAACAAACCAAAGTCAAAGAGGACATTAATTTAATCTGAGAATTGAATAAATCATTGAGTTACCAGACACCAAAAGGGTTGAATACCCTCCCCAGGATATCCACATCCTAATTCCTGGAACCTGGGAACTTTCCCTTATACAGCAAAAAAAGGTCTTGGCAGATGTGATTAAGGGTCTTGAGAAGGGGGGATTATCCTGGATTATCCAGGTGGGGCCCAAATGTGATCACACATGTCCTGATGAGAGAGAGAAAGAGAAAGATGTGATACAGAAGAGGAGAAAGGAATGTGGCCACAGAGGCAGAGATGGGAGTGACACAGCCACAAGATAAAGAAAGCAGGCAACCAGCAGAAGCTGAAGCAGCAAGGACCACCTCCTCCCAGTGTCTACCAAGGGAGCATGGCACACCGACAGCTTGATTTCAGCCTGGCGATACTGATTGCAGACTTCTGGCCTCCAGAACTATGACAGAAAATGTCTGTTGTTTTACACCACCAGGTTTGTGGTAATTTGTAACAGCAGCCACAGAGACTAAGAGCAGGGAAGCATGGAACCAGGCCTCAGGAAGACATGGAGATGGTCCCCTTCTCTGTGCCTGAAAGCCTCCTCACCCTGCAGGGCCCTGCGTGATCTGGTCCCTGCAAACCACGCCCCACCTCCAGCCCCCATCTCTTCTCCCACCACCACCCCTTAAACTGATTCTCATCTGGCACCCACGTGGTCTTGGCTTAGTTTCAAGTCCCTGCTTCATTGTTTCCTTCAAGAGCCCTCCCTAGACCACTCCATCCACCATGACGTCTCCATCCCAGGATTTTGAGGCCTCTACTCCAAGGGCACCTTTTCAGACACAATCCTTTTTGGTCCTCTCAGCTCCACACAAAGAAATTGACCAGCACAGTCCTGTAGGCCAAGGATAGACAGGGTGTGTGGTGGCTAGGAACACAGATTGGAGGTAACATGCTGGGTTCAAATTCATTTAGGAGTCCTAGGTTCCCTATTTGTAAAATAGAAATGATAAGAATAGAACTCACTTCAGAAGGTTGTCATGAGAATGAATGAGTTAGTGCACTGAAACCTCCTAAAAGAGTGTCCGAGACATAGTAAGTGCTCAATAAACATTAACTGCCAGGTGGGGTTATAAGGGAAGGATGCTAAGGCCGCTGGAAAAGAGGCCGGGGATCCCTGGCCTAAGAAAGGGCTTTCCCCACTGGCACAAAAGTGAGGGGGCAGTGTGGCTGGAGCTGAGGAAACAAATGGGAAGCCTAGGAGATGAGATGGAGGGGCAAACCCGTTTCCCTTGGGTCTTGCAGGCCATGTGACTGTGTGAGATGGGGAGCCACGGAAGTGTTGGGAGCGGAGGAGTGACCTGTTGTTTGAGGTCTGTGGCTGTTTTTCCCTAGAATGTAAGCAACAAGAGGGCAGGGACTTTGTTTCAGTGACTGCCCATTCCTCCCCGAGCCCTGTAAAAGCACCAGGCTCTTGATTGCACACAGTAAATATTTAAGCAAATGAGTGAACGAATAAATTAGCGAAATAAGGGGATGCGTCAACGCATAATTGAGAATCTGATTCCTTTAGAGATCCTTCATCCCATTCAGATGTGGAAGACCCGCCCCGCCTGTCGTCCTCAGCCAGCCTCCCACCCACGCCGTTAGGCTGCAGCTCCGCCCCGCGGCCGCCAGAGGGCGCGGAGCGGCCGCGTTTCCTGCACGGAAGGCTTTGTGTGAAGCACAGCGTGGGGCAGGGCCTGCCGGAGGGCGCCGCTCCGCTGAGCCACATCTACGCGAGGGCGGAACGCGGCAGAGGCCGGAGTGGTTTTGGCGACCCACGGGGCGAAGATGGCGGCGGAGCGACAAGACGCGCTGAGGGAGTTCGTGGCAGTGACGGGTACCGAGGAGGACCGGGCCCGCTTCTTCCTCGAGTCGGCCGGCTGGGACCTGCAGGTAGTGCTGCGAGGCGGGGTGCGTCGGCCCGGCCGGGGACTGCGGGGCACGGGCTCCTGGTGCCAAGCCTGTAGTGGCCGAAGCGCACCGTCATCCCGCCGGGCGGCGGCCCGACCCAGGCCTCAGGGTCCTGGGCCGCTGGCGGCGCGGCGCCAGGTCGGCTTGGGCGTGGGGAGACGCGGGCTAGCCGCGGCCCGACCTGCTGTGCCCGGCCAAGCTTTCCTCTTCTGCCTCGCCCGCCCGCGGAGTCAGCGAGACTTCGGGCACTGCCGCAACCCGCGTGGAGAGGGGCAGCCGGGGGGCGTGGCGGCCGCGCCGAGGCTCGGCTAGGGGCCGGGCGGGCGGGCGGGCATGACCGGCTGCCAGGTGGCGCCGCGCCGGGGACCAGGTAGTCGCTCATTCCCATGGCTCCGGCCGGGGAGTTGGCCCACGCCCCTTCCTGCCTCATTGCCGGGAGAAACTACTCGTAGGGTGGTGGCGCAAGGTTGGGACCCACTCATATTTCTTGGTTAACGCATCTGTGAAATGGGAGCCTTGTGTAGTTTATCGTCCAATACACTGGCACGTATCAAGTATTCATTAAATGTTTGTTCATTAAGAAGACGTTAAGGTGAGCAACACGAGGCAGGAATTGTAAGCTGTTGAAATCCCCGTGCGTAGAATAATGTCGGGTACTAAGTAAGCACTCAGTAATTAAGGGTGGAAAGAATTGCGTAAATGGTCTTGGCCCGCCTACGTCTTAGGTAGGTGTAGATAATTAGTATCTATCGAGCCAGGTGCTATGCTAACTGCTTTACGTGTCTCGGGTCATTTAACCTTTGCATTTTGCAGCTGAGGTTTGGGGAAGTTAAGTAACAAGCCAAAGGCCTCACTAGCTACCAAATGGAAGAAAGAGCATTAGAATTCAGTTCTGCCTGATTCCAGAGCCCAAGCTCTTAACCACATGTGCCAGGCACTGTTTATATGATTACTTCTTTAACCTGGCAATAATGTGAGGTAAAGAAACTAGCCCTGTTGTATTGGTGAGGAATTGGAAGTTCAGAGCGCAAGTGATATGCCCAAGGCCACCCAGCTAGTGAGTAGTGACATTGGAATTTGAACTGGGTCTGCTGATTCCACCATTTAAATTGCTTCTCAGAGGTAAAAGTTAGTTAAGGATCACCCCTGTACAGACGTAGTGTGAAGCCCCTGTGCTGGGCAGAAATACAAAGCTGCATTTGGTATTTCTGCCTGAAAGACCTAGAAACTCATAGTGTTACAGTTGGCCGATGATCCGTCCGAGTCTCTTCACCTATACATGAGAAAACTGAGTCCCATGCAGGGCCAGGACTTGAGTGTTGTCCTCAATGCCATTTCAGTGCTCGCCTTATGATAGCATACTCCTAGCAGTCCCACAACAGCTCACTTCCTCCTGTAAGGCTGGTGACCTTGAAGATAAGAGCCATGTTTTCATCTCTGTAGACCCTGGTGCTCTTACTTTTTTGTGATTAGTATCACCTGCCCAATGAGTCGACAAGAGAAATACAATCTCAAACGACCAAAGCACTCCCATTTACCATCTGTGTATATAGAGCTAAAATACAACTGTGCATAAATGTTAATGGCTCTTATCCACTCTGCAGAGTTGGTGGGACAGGTGTCCCCATTGCAGAGATTAGGAAACTTGGTCTCAGAGAAACAGTAAAGGTAGTAATCTGTACTCACCTCACCGTTCCTGACTCCTGGCTATCACATAAGAGCTGAGAGTATGGGCCAAAGCAGACTGCCTGGGATGGAACTCGACTGGACTCTTTACCAACTGTCTAGCCTTTGGCAATTTTCTTAACTTCTCAGTGCTTCTGTAGGAACTATAAAATGAGACGATAATAGTACTAACTACATAGGGTTCTTTGAGGATTAAATGATTTAATTAAATTAATTTAATTAAATGATTTAATACATGTAGAATTATGCTCAGAAAAATGTGGCACGTAAATAAATGCTCAATAAATGTACACTGCTTTTACTAGGTCACATTTCCTAATAAAATGACATTGAGGAGTGTCTCCATCCCAGCCTTCCTTCTTGCCGTCTTTCCCCTTAGTAGGTGGAATTTGTTTCAAGTGATATGAAGAGTAACAGTTGCACTGTTAACCTTCTGGACTGATTTTCTGTGGCCCGCAGGTACAGACCTCCTTGCAAGTGTGGGCCATATCTTTGTGACTTTGCTCCTGTGTGGATTAAAGGAGATATGTGTTAGATGAAGGCCTCTTTAAGGATCCCAAGTTACTACCTCTCTGTTTCAGATCGCCCTAGCAAGCTTTTATGAGGATGGAGGGGATGACGACATTGTGACCATTTCGCAGGCAACCCCCAGTTCAGTGTCCAGAGGCACAGCCCCCAGGTAAGGGCCCCCTTCAATTATTGCTATATGGGTGTGCTTCCAGCAGTGATGAGGTGCTATTTCCTGACTTGACAGAGGGTTCAAGCCTGGGGGTGTGGACCAGTGGATTTGAGTGAGAGAGTTAGACTGGTGGGTAGCAGTTCCTTGCAAGATTTATTCCTGTCCTGTAGAGAGATGCATGACACACTCATGGAGAGATCCTTACATCAGTATGGTTTATGGTTCAATCTTGGAGGAAACCACAGAACCTACTCTTAAGATGTTTGAGGGTCTTTTATTTATGAAGTGCCAAGAGTGGCATTTTGTCTCTTCATCTCTAGACATTTTTAAGTAGAAACCAAGGGACATCCTTTCAGGGGTGCTATAGATACAAAGATCAGGCCAGATGACTTTAGATGGGCTCTTTTTATATTTTAGGATGCCCAATACTTGTTAGGAAGTCTTAGAGAAAATAAATCTTTGTAACCCACCCAGTCCCAAATTGATTAAGGAGAACTGATCTTACTAGGTGAAACCGTGTTAACCTTTGTGATCCCATTTGCGTCCCCCATCTCACCCATGAAGGGACACTGCTGGTCTTCCAGGAGACACCAAGGCTTCTTCCTACAAAGGTGTCTTACTGCAACTCTCCTCTTTGCTTTAGCCTGATTTGCTTCTGCTCTCTGATATATGTTTTCACCAGAAAATTTTAATTTTTAATTCAACCCTGAAGTACAGATGGAGTGTTTAGAGGTGAGAGTATCTCTAGTAGTCCCAAGGTCCTGTCAAGGTAGTGCTTTTGTGGAGCATGGGCCTAGGAGCCTATGTTCAAATCCCAGCTCTCCACTTTGGAGCTTTGTGACCTTGGGCAGGTCACTTAACATCTCAGTCCCTCAGTTTACCTCACCTGTCAAATGGGAATGATTTCTGTGCCTACCACAGGGAAATGAAATGAGTTAATACTTACAAGGCACTTAAAACTCAGTACATGTTAGCTGCTGCTATTGTCATATTATCATTATTTGCATATGTTTTCATCTTCCCATTCTGTGCTCCCTTATTCCACAAGTATGTGTGTTAAAAAATAGACATTAAAAAAAGTGAAGGAAATAGTTTAATGTCAAGATTGAACACACGTTCAGGCCTAAAGGCCTTGCTCTGTTGCTGTGGTTAATCCTCTGACTTCTTTCACGCCCCTTCCTGCCTCATTGCCGGGAGAAACTACTCGTAGGGTGGTGGCGCAAGGTTGGGACCCACTCATATTTCTTGGTTAACGCATCTGTGAAATGGGAGCCTTGTGTAGTTTATCGTCCAATACACTGGCACGTATCAAGTATTCATTAAATATTTGTTCATTAAGAAGACGTTAAGGTGAGCAACACGAGGCAGGAATTGTAAGCTGTTGAAATCCCCGTGCGTAGAATAATGTCGGGTACTAAGTAAGCACTCAGTAATTAAGGGTGGAAAGAATTGCGTAAATGGTCTTGGCCCGCCTACGTCTTAGGTAGGTGTAGATAATTAGTATCTATCGAGCCAGGTGCTATGCTAACTGCTTTACGTGTCTCGGGTCATTTAACCTTTGCATTTTGCAGCTGAGGTTTGGGGAAGTTAAGTAACAAGCCAAAGGCCTCACTAGCTACCAAATGGAAGAAAGAGCATTAGAATTCAGTTCTGCCTGATTCCAGAGCCCAAGCTCTTAACCACATGTGCCAGGCACTGTTTATATGATTACTTCTTTAACCTGGCAATAATGTGAGGTAAAGAAACTAGCCCTGTTGTATTGGTGAGGAATTGGAAGTTCAGAGCGCAAGTGATATGCCCAAGGCCACCCAGCTAGTGAGTAGTGACATTGGAATTTGAACTGGGTCTGCTGATTCCACCATTTAAATTGCTTCTCAGAGGTAAAAGTTAGTTAAGGATCACCCCTGTACAGACGTAGTGTGAAGCCCCTGTGCTGGGCAGAAATACAAAGCTGCATTTGGTATTTCTGCCTGAAAGACCTAGAAACTCATAGTGTTACAGTTGGCCGATGATCCGTCCGAGTCTCTTCACCTATACATGAGAAAACTGAGTCCCATGCAGGGCCAGGACTTGAGTGTTGTCCTCAATGCCATTTCAGTGCTCGCCTTATGATAGCATACTCCTAGCAGTCCCACAACAGCTCACTTCCTCCTGTAAGGCTGGTGACCTTGAAGATAAGAGCCATGTTTTCATCTCTGTAGACCCTGGTGCTCTTACTTTTTTGTGATTAGTATCACCTGCCCAATGAGTCGACAAGAGAAATACAATCTCAAACGACCAAAGCACTCCCATTTACCATCTGTGTATATAGAGCTAAAATACAACTGTGCATAAATGTTAATGGCTCTTATCCACTCTGCAGAGTTGGTGGGACAGGTGTCCCCATTGCAGAGATTAGGAAACTTGGTCTCAGAGAAACAGTAAAGGTAGTAATCTGTACTCACCTCACCGTTCCTGACTCCTGGCTATCACATAAGAGCTGAGAGTATGGGCCAAAGCAGACTGCCTGGGATGGAACTCGACTGGACTCTTTACCAACTGTCTAGCCTTTGGCAATTTTCTTAACTTCTCAGTGCTTCTGTAGGAACTATAAAATGAGACGATAATAGTACTAACTACATAGGGTTCTTTGAGGATTAAATGATTTAATTAAATTAATTTAATTAAATGATTTAATACATGTAGAATTATGCTCAGAAAAATGTGGCACGTAAATAAATGCTCAATAAATGTACACTGCTTTTACTAGGTCACATTTCCTAATAAAATGACATTGAGGAGTGTCTCCATCCCAGCCTTCCTTCTTGCCGTCTTTCCCCTTAGTAGGTGGAATTTGTTTCAAGTGATATGAAGAGTAACAGTTGCACTGTTAACCTTCTGGACTGATTTTCTGTGGCCCGCAGGTACAGACCTCCTTGCAAGTGTGGGCCATATCTTTGTGACTTTGCTCCTGTGTGGATTAAAGGAGATACGTGTTAGATGAAGGCCTCTTTAAGGATCCCAAGTTACTACCTCTCTGTTTCAGATCGCCCTAGCAAGCTTTTATGAGGATGGAGGGGATGACGACATTGTGACCATTTCGCAGGCAACCCCCAGTTCAGTGTCCAGAGGCACAGCCCCCAGGTAAGGGCCCCCTTCAATTATTGCTATATGGGTGTGCTTCCAGCAGTGATGAGGTGCTATTTCCTGACTTGACAGAGGGTTCAAGCCTGGGGGTGTGGACCAGTGGATTTGAGTGAGAGAGTTAGACTGGTGGGTAGCAGTTCCTTGCAAGATTTATTCCTGTCCTGTAGAGAGATGCATGACACACTCATGGAGAGATCCTTACATCAGTATGGTTTATGGTTCAATCTTGGAGGAAACCACAGAACCTACTCTTAAGATGTTTGAGGGTCTTTTATTTATGAAGTGCCAAGAGTGGCATTTTGTCTCTTCATCTCTAGACATTTTTAAGTAGAAACCAAGGGACATCCTTTCAGGGGTGCTATAGATACAAAGATCAGGCCAGATGACTTTAGATGGGCTCTTTTTATATTTTAGGATGCCCAATACTTGTTAGGAAGTCTTAGAGAAAATAAATCTTTGTAACCCACCCAGTCCCAAATTGATTAAGGAGAACTGATCTTACTAGGTGAAACCGTGTTAACCTTTGTGATCCCATTTGCGTCCCCCATCTCACCCATGAAGGGACACTGCTGGTCTTCCAGGAGACACCAAGGCTTCTTCCTACAAAGGTGTCTTACTGCAACTCTCCTCTTTGCTTTAGCCTGATTTGCTTCTGCTCTCTGATATATGTTTTCACCAGAAAATTTTAATTTTTAATTCAACCCTGAAGTACAGATGGAGTGTTTAGAGGTGAGAGTATCTCTAGTAGTCCCAAGGTCCTGTCAAGGTAGTGCTTTTGTGGAGCATGGGCCTAGGAGCCTATGTTCAAATCCCAGCTCTCCACTTTGGAGCTTTGTGACCTTGGGCAGGTCACTTAACATCTCAGTCCCTCAGTTTACCTCACCTGTCAAATGGGAATGATTTCTGTGCCTACCACAGGGAAATTAAATGAGTTAATACAAGGCACTTAAAACTCAGTACATGTTAGCTGCTGCTATTGTCATATTATCATTATTTGCATATGTTTTCATCTTCCCATTCTGTGCTCCCTTATTCCACAAGTATGTGTGTTAAAAAATAGACATTAAAAAAAGTGAAGGAAATAGTTTAATGTCAAGATTGAACACACGTTCAGGCCTAAAGGCCTTGCTCTGTTGCTGTGGTTAATCCTCTGACTTCTTTCTGAGCTTAGGTGATGCCAAGAAAAAGGGGGAGGGAGGGCACAATTTGTTACATCCAGAAGGAAAATGCTGACTGTGTTCAAAGAAGCAGCCAAGCTTGTGCCAGCACCTCACAGGAATTCTCTGGGGCCTGCACCCACCTGCCAGCCCCCTTCACCCCACCCCACTCCAGCTGATTGTTCAGGTCACTTAGCTTGCTTCTGGGCTCTCCCCATCTCATTGTCACCTTCTAAACACTCAATTAGTGGGTTTCTCCTTTGACTCTAGAATAGTGGTTCTTAATGTGGGAGCCCTGAGCCCCAAGAGGAATCTAGGGAGTGGATGTGAGAATGTCCACAAATTACCTGACATTGTAGGCCGAGTTTTGTTTGTATGTTCTATCTTATCTGGCAAGAAAATCCATAGATTTTATGATAAAAGGCTCACAAGGGCTATGGGACATTAAAAAGGAAGCCATTGCTATAGGAGAAAGTCTCAACTCCTCAATAACAGCTGTCATTTATTGAGCACTTACCGAGTGCCAGGCACTGGATTAAACCCTTACAGATACATCTTTTTAGTCCTCTCTACAACCCTTTAAAGTAGTTACTGTTGTTATCCCCATCTTACAGCTGAAGACACTAAAGCTGGGCATTTTCTCAAGATCACACAGCTAGTAAAATGAGGATTTAAATGCAGATCTTTTTCTGCTTCTAGCGGTCAGATATCTCAGCCAGAAAGATGCAAGGCCTCTCCGTGTAGATAGTCAAGGTCCTACAGAGTTTGCCCTGAACCATACTAATCTTACTCGCTTTCCTCATTTCTTAAATCTTTATTCCAACCAGACTGATTTCTTTGGTTTCTCAGTTCTGCCTTATTTTTGGTTCTCCTGCTTTTGTTTGAGCCTCTCGCTTGTCTGGACATGCCTGCTGTCTTGCTGTCTGCCTGTCTGCATCCCATGCATCCTTCCTAGTGTAACTCCATCCCCACCTTCTCTATGTTATCCTCACCACTGTAGGCAGCATGCCACAATCCTGTTCCTCAGCATTCCGCTCACACTGTATAATTCATTCGCTTCCTTGACCCTATCCACATACTACACAGTGATATCTCTCCTGTGTTGCCCTAACTGTTCTCCTGATATTTAACTTAGTTTTTTCACCCTAAGTAAGTTGTAAGGTTTAGAAGTGGGCAGGCTAGTATTTCAGGAGCACCTACCATCTCTCCAGCTCTGTCAGATATTCTCACCTATGTTCTCTTCGCAATAACTTTGGAAGTGGCCATGTCACAGGTCAGGATGCTGAGTCCTAGAAAGGTTAATTTACAGCTGCTGTTAGGGAAGATTCAAGCCCAAGTCTGCCTAATTCCACAGCTGCTTCTGCTGCCGCGTACTACCTCCCTGGACAGCACCTCCCTCCCCTGTGCCTAGCGTGGAGTCAAGCAAGAGGTCGTGGTTTGTTTCTTCCTTTTTTTCATCTTTAATCCAACAAAACTGTACTTAGAATTTCAGGGCCCACTATTGTCTGATTCTCTAAAACTATCCTATGTTGTATGTAGCTACTAATAAGACAAACACTGGGTTATTTACACTAACCATATTTCAGCTGCTCAGGAGTCACGTGTCCATGTTTGACGGAGCAGATACAGCATTTCCATCATTGTAGAAAATGGGATCTGCAGAGGAACTTTGTGACACTTCAGAGTGCCAGGGTACCTGGAAGATAGAATTTTGATGCTGAAAAATTGAAATTTCTGAGACATTTTGCCAATTTGTGGAGGACATAGAACAAAGTACTCTGAAATTTGTAATGTCCTCAGGACATCCATGCCATAACCACTACTCCAGAGCAGTGGTTCTCAAACTTGAGCATACATCAAAATGACTTAGAGGGTTCCTTAAAACCACATTGCTGAGGGCTCCTTCCAGAGTTTCTAATTCTCGAAGTCTGAGGCGGAGCTTGAGGATTTGCATTTTTCCCAGTTTCATAGATAATGCTGAGGTACCTTTTCTAGGGACCAACATTTTAAGAACCACTGTTCAAGAGTAGTACTTAAAACATACTATACCATGCCCCCAACTGCTCACAGAAAGCTCATGAGGTTGGTGCTGTGATTGTCTCCATTTTCACATGAGAAAATGCAGGCTTAGAGAACTTGATGAGTATGCCCAAGTTTCCAGGTTGAAAGGCCAAATTGGGGTTCAGAGCCAGGTACTTAGGCACCAGAGTCTGTGTCAGATATTGTCAGAGTCTGGGTATAAAATCTTTTGAAGAAAGAATCAAATATGTAGCCAGAGCAAATGTTTTGCTCAAGCAGATGTACATGGTGTATTTGAAAGTGTTTAACAACAGAGATGGCAGACTTTATTCCCCACAAATGCTAGGCTGGACATCTGTGGAAAACTCCCTGGGAAGACTAATGATTGGAATTAGCCTTTCAGGGCTAGTATGAGTCTGTCACTTGGGTCCTTTTGAACCATGTCACATAGAAGGCCCAGGAAGTTGCTTTCAGTGAACTCAAGCAGGGAATGTATTTGCTACAGCCATTGGTCTTTGTCCTCTCAGTTCTAGCAGATGGAAACTCAAAGCCTGTTCTGTCCCCTGGTTGTCTCCTTGAAATGAACCTTCCTTCAAAACTGAACTGCAGCTTTCTTCCTAGTAAACAATTCCTTTGTCTCGCCTCACTAAACCTGTATTACCCTTTACCCCTATATTACAGAGAAGCTACTTTTTTCCCTCAAAGAACTACAAAATGTTTCAAAATGTTTTTATAAAATGAGTGTCTATGGTCCTTGAAAAACTAAGATTGCTTCTTGAGGATAATTCTGAATTAGGAAAAAGTGGCAGTGTAAGGCAATGTCAGAAGGAAGTGAACCCTCTCACACCCATTTTTAGTGTGCCCTCTCCACACCCACACAGCTCTGCTTTTTCCCAAACACTGATAAATACTTCTTACTGACTCACCTAGAGCAGAAGCAGACAGAGCCTCCTTGCCTACATGCTCATTTCATTTGTACTTCTTTGCAACTTGTCCTTCCTCTAACATGCTACTCTATTGTTGCTATGTATGTGCACATTCCTGTGATGCCTGCTTGTCCCCTTTCCCTGCAGCCCCATCACCGTTTATCCAACTGACTGTCTAGCAGTTCTTGCCACTCAGTCCAGATGTTGTGTTTTTCTGGGAAGCCCTTCTTGCTGTTCCCCTGTTCCCTCTTCCACTCAGAACAAGAGGATCTGTGCTCACATGTCCCAGGTGCTTCCCTCTGTCACAGCCCCTGTTGCCCAGTATTTAAGGGATGATTTCCTAGCTGAAGTGCTACCAGCCTATAAGCATCTCAAGAATAAGAACTGTGTCTGATCAACTGTACAGACCTAGTATCCAGTTTAGTGCCTGGCATACAGGCATTCTCTCAGTGTTTAAAAAGGAAATGCTGACAACAGCTATTTAGAAGTAAGTTTCTGAAGTAGTACAGACTCCCCTTCTCCCCTGAAGAGAGTTTAAATTGGATTCCATTTTACTTTACAATAGCGTTTTCTAGTTTACTCTCAGTCCTGTGTGACCTTGAAGAATAAGTGCCACATTATTTTGTATATAAACTCAGGCTAAGCCTCTTTCATAGACATCTTCTTGCCTCACCAAAAAAGTCTAACCTCAGTGTCTAGCCTACTTAGAGCTGATGATGGGGCTTATCTTTGTTTACCTCCCTGCGAGATCATTTTGCTCCTTTCTTTGTCTGCAGTGATAATAGGGTGACATCCTTCAGAGACCTCATTCATGACCAAGACGAGGAGGAGGAAGAGGAGGAGGGCCAGAGGTGAGTCTTCATTTGGGGACACAGTCCACCAGAAAGTCTGTTGTAATGTGTGAATTGTGGTAAGTGTCAGTCATCTGGAAGGACCTAGAAGGGTAAACATGGTCCATTATCATTAGCCATTACTACTGTGGGCCAGTCTGCATGTGTTATATCCTAGAAACAGTCTCCCACTCCCTGTAGCTTAGAAGCGATCCCTGTCCCATTACTTTTTTTTTCTTTCGGGGTATTTGGCAGTATTCTGTTTTCTTTTTTTTTTAATTATTAAAATATATATTTATTGAAGATTAATAGGGGGAGGGAAACAAATCAATAAGAGGGGGGGTGAGTCTTTCATAACATCACAATCCAAAGGTAACCAGGAATGAATAATAACTTTTTTAAAAAGTGATATACCCCATAATAAACAATAAAAGACGTATAAATGTGTATTCTTCCAAATACACACACACAGACTGTTTTTAATCTTTGAAGGTTGTAATAAAATGAGTGTCTGTTGTGGAAAATGTGGAATAGTGTAGTGAAAAAAATCTGACATTTATCCACCCTTTCATAACTACATGTAGTGTTTTGGCATATTTCCATTCATTCTTGGTTCTGTGTATAAATACAGTTTGTTTTATATTGTATTTTACATGGTGCAAGTCAGTTTTGTTATTTTTGTTGAATTAATGCTACATCTTAAACACTTCTCTGTGTCATTGAGTCTTCATAAATATTTTCAGTGATTATAATCATCACATGAATGTTAGTGTTTCCAGTATTTTACCACTGTAACTATAAATATCAATGCTGTGAACATCTCTGTGTATTCATCTTTGATTGCATTTCAGATTATTTTCTTAGAATAAGTTCTAGAAATGAGAACACCAGGTCAAGGGCTTGAATATTTCTAAAACACTTGATCATGGGCTCCTTGTTGGTAAGCCAAGGCTTTGAGGTCCCTTAATAAAGACCTTACAGTCCATTGAGCAGAACTTCATCTGTCTGGAATGAACAAGAATGGACTGGCTGCAGCCTCATTTCATGGGTTTTGGTTCTCCATGGCATCTGCCTCGGTCTGTCAAACATTGCTAAGGAACATTGTATAATAACCATTATGGAAATGCAATTACCTCATCGTGGTCACTCTTTGGGAAGTAGGCTGAGAAAGTGCATGTTCCATTTGCTGTTTTCATCCATGTAGTGACCTTTACTTGCTTCAGAGCCTTCTTTTTAGATACATTCAGGGTTCAGGAATAAATGTTAATTTAGGGCTTTCCACTCCTTGAGTAAAAGGCAATGCTATCAAATATATGAATGCCTAATTCCTAAATGGCCTCCGTATCCTTCTCCGATCCAGTCACGTCCACCAGGTGACCTTGCTTTATTTCACATCCCGATTACTTCCCTGGCCCCATGGCAACTCAGAGCTGATGGCACTGGTGCTGAGGCCTGTGGCTTTGCCTTGCGTTCCATGGGGGGTTGTCGGGAAGTAGAAAGCTGAGACTAATGTTTATAGGTTCTCTCTTTTGCCCACTTGGAGACATACTGTGAATAGGAGTGATAAGGATGCAGCCAGCTAGGCTGCTTGACTGCTGGCTTTCAGACCCAGGTAAAAAGTGCTGGCTTAATCTCAAGCTATGCTTGGCCCATACATTACAGAGCCTGGTGCAAGTGTCTTGGGGCTTGCCTTTTGACCTTTATGACCTTCTCCAGTACTCTCCCCGAGTGCCCCCAGTGTATATCACACAAACAGCAAGGCGAAGTGAGGGTTGGGTGAGCTCTGGGTGCTCTTTCACCCCACCTTACATGTGCGCATTACTCTGTGCTTGTTCTTTTGCATACATCCGCTGATTTGAACCTCATGGCCCTGACTTAAGGAGCAGGTAGGTAGGGCATGTGGTCCTTCCCTCCCATTTCAAAGACAAGGAAAGTGAGATACGTGAAGTGAGGCTTGCCCAGGTCACCCAGCAGCAGAGCCAGCACCAGAGCCTGGCTGCTTAGACTAACCACACCACTGTCACCATTAACTCAGAGCTGCTAGTAGCTGCCTCTGACTGTGACCATAGTTGCTCTCTCCTGGAGAAATGCTGGCCACCAGATGGGTGTTTGCCAGTTGGAGCTCTCTCCAGAGCTGACATGCCATCATGCATGCCTGGAATGCCCTCCCTTAGTTTCTTCACCTGAAAAGCTCATGCTCATCTTCACTGCTCAAGACTCAGCCCAGATGACGCCTTTCTAGGAAGCCTTGACTGGCCTCCCTAGCTCTGTCCCCAGAGCACTCCTTACCTCCATTGCTGCTCACAGTGCTTTATGCCTGCCTGCCTCCTTATGTGTCCCCAACTAGACAGTAAGTTCCGAAAAGATGGGTGTCGTACCCCTCACCTCCGTGTGCCTGGCACGTAACGCAGTGCCTGGCACTTGATCTATTCATGTTTTCCAAGCGCACGTGGTATTAGATGTGTATTTTTTGCACAGGTTTTATGCCGGGGGCTCAGAGAGAAGTGGACAGCAGATTGTTGGCCCTCCAAGGAAGAAAAGTCCCAATGAGCTGGTGGATGATCTCTTTAAAGGTGCCAAGGAGCATGGAGCTGTAGCTGTAGAGCGAGTGACCAAGAACCCTGGAGAGACCAGTAAACCAAGAGTGAGCACAGGGGAGTTGTCAGTGTCCATGGTGGGGCGGGGAGGCCTTCCTCACCCGGGTGGTGACTGAACTTGGTTTGGTTTGGTTTTCATTTGCCCTTGTGTACGGAAAAGCAGTACAGTTTCTCTCACCCTTTAACATGAAGTCAAGAGTGGGGACAAAAGTTTGCAAACCTGTGGCCTAGATCAGATTCTGCAAACATGTTTTATTTGGCCTAACCAATTTGATATGTTTTGTTTTATTTGTTTTAATTGAATTAATAGCCACTTGTTTTATGTAAAATCTGGATTTCTGTATTTAGGAAAATACAGTCTTTGGTATTATCCTGCACCCAGGTTTCTATATGGCCATGATTAACTAGCACTTAGTAGCAGGTGTTCCCTTTAGCCAGGCAGCACCCTCCCCTTCCACTTCTCACCCCAGTCCTGGCCACTTAATTCACTTAACGTACTGTCTGGCCCTGTCGCTCTTACTTTGATACCCCGAGAAAGTATACCTAGTAGCCAACAAGCTTGAGATGTATTCATTCTTTCTGAGTAACCCCACCACCGTTGACCCACTCCCACTCCTCAAGGGTTTATGAGCTTGTCTTTTATAGCCATTTGCAGGGGGTGGCTACCGCCTCGGGGCAGCACCAGAGGAAGAGTCTGCCTATGTGGCAGGAGAAAGGCGGCGGCATTCCGGCCAGGATGTAAGTATGTTTAGTTTGCCTTCCGTAGGGAAGCTTGTGGACTCTTGTACCATTTTTCAGAAGGGGTTAGCCACATGTTAAGCGTGAACCAGCAGCCTCTTAAGGGGAAGAGACAGTGCCCTTACTCTGGTTTGTGAACGGAGAGGCTTATCTGAGAATCAAAAGCAGTTCTCATCTGGCTGGGCAGGGAACTCATGAGAAGGCGGTCAGAGGGCATAGACAAATGAGCATTCCATGGATCTCAGGCAGAGAGCTAGTGAATTCAGGGTTCTCTGATGGTGTAGACATGGCTGAAGAACCTGATCTTCAGACCACCTAAAGAGGCCTGAAACAGCCTTTTAAAAATTTTCCATGCCATTCTCTAGTCTTTTTTTACCTATGCATAAGGGTCCCCCTCCAGTAAGTATGATCATACTGTATAAACAATTTTGAGGGTTTTTAAATTTCATATTATGCCATAGACATTTTCATGTAGCTTTGTGACCATTAGTTTCTGTAATGTATTTGTTTTTGATCATTTTGGGTTTTACTCCAAAATAAAATCCAAGAAAATAAAAATCCTATCCACCAGAGGCAACAGCTGCTAATATGTTGGGTTTAAAGGGTATTCTGGGCCCTTTTCTTCCATTTTTGTATAGGAGGTTGTTGAAAGAAATTTTAACTATGATTTTTTAATGACCACAAAATAGTCCCTGAGTAGATTTGCCATGGTGGTATTACACTGCTTACCTCCTGTTGTTACAGGTTCATGTAGTGTTGAAGCTCTGGAAGAGTGGATTCAGCCTGGACAATGGCGAACTCAGAAGCTACCAGGACCCATCCAATGCCCAGTTTCTGGAGTCTATCCGCAGAGGGTGAGCAGAAAGCCCTCCCGCAGTCAGTAAATGGGATAGCAAATGGGAAAGAAGAGCCTGATCCAAATATTTACTATTTAAGAAGTAATCATTTTTAAGCTGCACAATTGAGGTACAGATTCATGGATCTGCTCCAAAAATCTGTGTGTCCATTTTTAACCCTTTGGGGCTGGGGCAGAGCAAAGTGACCAAATAAGATACAGGTTTCTGCTGTAGCTTTGAACAGGCTGAAGAGAAAGGAGAGGCAGACAAGTAGCCAGTAGAATGGAGGCCCAGCGGCTTTCACAGGGGGAACTGAGAAGTTCCTTCTCCCCTTGCACCATCCCTGTCCTTCCCATCCTGTTTTCTGTAATCCCAGCATTGTGTTTTCTCCCTCAGGGAGGTGCCAGCAGAGCTGCGGAGGTTAGCTCACGGTGGGCAGGTGAATTTGGACATGGAGGACCATCGGGACGAGGACTTTGTGAAGCCCAAGGGAGCCTTCAAAGCCTTCACCGGTGAGGGTCAGAAACTGGGCAGGTAAGGAGCAGCACAGGTGGAAGTGGGCCTGCCTTCTGGGCACTCCTGCCAGGCCAGTAGGCTCTGTTTCGCTCACTTTGTATAGCTCTTTACTGTTTACAGAGAGCTTCAGATTTTACTTGTATGGGAGGAAAAATATGGAGAATATGCACTGTGGCATTAAGGGAACTGAGTGTAAGTCTCCTCTTCACTTCCTAGCTGTGTGACTCTCCCTGTAGCCTCAGTTTGCCAGCTGTGAAATGGACTTCGGAAAGTCCTCACCTCCTCAGTTGTGGCTGTGCTGCCCCATAGCCAGTCATCAGTATGGGTGGTAACAGGACACACTGCTGCTTTGCCTCAGTACTCTAGGGCATGTGGGGCAAGTAACTCTGATGGCCTAAGGCTGAAACAGACACACATACTCACCTGAAATGGGGATTCAGAGGTAATAAGGAATCCCAAGCTCTGCCACCCAGCAACCCTCACAGCAGCATTATTCAGGGGCCAAGGAAACTCAAGGACATTGTTGCCCTTGCGGGCTGCTGCTCCACCATTATGGCAGCTCTTGTCTCTACTTTGACCCTGCCTGACACTCACTCTATCACTTCCTGTGACTTTTTCTCCCTTGGATCTCTGCCACAGTCTCCATCTTACCTCTAAGGATCTGATTCTTACCTCTTTTAAGGTCTGATTGGTTGGTAGTCACTTCCCTCTGGTAGGCAGAGTCCTCCCACCAGACTCTTGACCAGTCCGTAGGCAGGCTACCTGCTCTCAAGGGCCCACTCAGCTTTGGCCATGGCTTCACTTAGTATTCTTCAGAAGGAACTGTGCACAAGAGAGGCATTCAGAATGGGGAACCTCCCCTCCAGTACAATGCTAATTTTACAGAAGGAAAGCTGAGGCTCCTGGACTCTAAGGGTTACCTTTGGGTGCATGACTGGTAGTGGTGGAGCCAGGACTGGAGCCCAGGCCTTCGATTGGCATTCCTTCCCACACTCCCTTCTGATTGGCATCCCTTCGAGCACTCCTGCATGGCAAGACACCCTCCTTGACCTAGAGCTGGTGTCTCTTAAGCTAGCCTCTTGAGCTAGGCCCTGCTGTGGTTCACCTCACAACCATCTGCAGGAGTCAGAGCTACCAGTGAGAGTGGTCTGTCGGCAGCCATCCTCTTTGAGCTTTTGACTGGCCCTTTTCTAGACCCCTTTCCCACCCTCCCAGCCATTCATGTCTCATTAGGTGCAAGGGTCATCTCTAAAGATGTTAGAGGCCAATAGATTATGATTTACCAGGACCAGAATAGTAAAGCCCACCTTGCTCTCTTCATTACATCTACCACTTTGGGGCCTGTGGGTTAGTCTGGGACAGGTGTTGTCAGAGTGGGCCATCTGTGTCTTCCCTGTTGGCTGTGGTAAGCTCCCAAGAAGCACCAGGTGATTTTTTTCCATTATTATTAAAGTATATTTAGCTTTAAAAAAAAGAAAGGAAAATGCAGATAGAGAATAAAAACGATCCCTAAACCCAATCCCCAAATATGTAGATATATCCAGTTAGTACCTAGGAAGTATCCTTCTAGTATTAACCATATATAGTGTGTGTGTGTGTAAGCACTGTCTTATCACCTGATTTTTTGCCTAATTGATGTAGTGTGGCTAGCACTCTGTATCAGTAAGTGTGTTTCTACAATATTATTTCTAATGCTAATATTCTATCCTGTATATGTGCTATAATTTGCTGAGTCCCTGCTGTTAAACATTTAGGCAGCTGTCAGTATTAAGAACAACATTGCAGTGAATATCTCTAATTTGGTATTTGTATAATCCTTTATCTCAGGCTAGAAGTAGTTTCTGGCTCAGAAGGTCTCATGTTTTTGAGATGCTCTACAGAAAGATTGTAGCAGGTTTTTACTCACCATCAATTATAAGAAAGCACTTGGAACTCAGAAAACTATGTGGTTTGGGTTTGTTTGGTTTCATGATGCTTATAGGAAATGTTTCTACTATTGGGAAGTCTTATTATATCTTATGTATGCAAGACTGTGCGGGTCAAAAAATTAAAATACTTTTAAGGAAGTCTGTTTTAAAAGGATGAGGGTAAGTCCTTTGTTGATGCAGAGGATGAACCCGACAAGTCGAGACAGACCTTGGTAATCAGGTATGATTAACTGAATGTCAGCTAAACGTTCTTGCCAGTTTTTATTTCAGTTCTAGCTTTTTATGAAAAATGAGTTAAAAGTTTTAATGCAGCTAACTGAGATGGATTTTTGCTTTTCAGTCTAAACCGATGGACAGCTTTTTTAGTTTCTCACATAAAGTTTGCTGTTTGCTATTGACATCTTGTCAACCAAAATGATCACGAGCCAAAAGCTTAAACATTTTTTTCAGTTGTGCAACAAAAATCAAGTCAGTCCTGGGCTTTTTCCTCCCATTATCTGGGGAAATACTTTAAAGTGAATGAATAGATTATTCTCAGTTCAAAATTTGAAAAATTTCTTACAGTTGTGTTAAACTTTGTTGTTTTACTGGTTTTGTATTTGGATGGGAAGCGAACGTTTGGGAAAGGCAGCATTTATTTGATTTTGAATGGCAAACACTGGGAGTACGCTTGGTGGGTGCCATATTGCTGCCAGGGATGAGTTGCACCCACTCACCACACTTTCTGTGGTTGTTTTTGTAAAGATGACAGGGTCTTGAGACTTAAACTTGTGTCAGCAAAGCATCTTAGTGCCAGTTTATTCCCACTACAAAGGAAATGAGTAGTCAGGTGATACAGGCTGTCAATATGAATGGGAATCAGTTTCCCTGTAACTCATTATATTATATCTGCAGGGAGGTGGTACAGAAGCTCCTCTTATTATAGATGTCTGGTTTATCATTCCTGCCACTCTGTGAGGGCCCTCACTGCTACAGATGGCCTAGCCACTCCTTAAGAGGAATGGCTCAGGTATTGGCAGTTCTCAGGAAGCATCAGAGGCTGCTTCCCCTGAACAAATACACATGACTATTCTAGGCCATGATTACAGTATTTGGGCCTAATGCTCTTTGAATGTCTTGTTCCAAATAATACACATGAGGCCCATTATTGAGGTTCTTCCTACTTCAAGCCCCGCAACATCGAGGGCAGCATAGGCTGGAAGTGCCTCTCATGTGACCTCCCACTTATAGCCCATGGATAGGCAGTAGCATCTCTGAGTGATTTGGGTCCAGAATTTAAGCAAATGCAAGTGGGGTAGGACCTTGAAGAATGGTAGTAATCAGCTATTTGGGTAGGTTTCTGTTGTTAGCACTGTACTAAGTATTTTACATATTACCACCTTTAATGCTGTTTTGATCCCCATTATACAAAAAAGGACTCCAAACCTTGAAGAAGTCAGGTCTTGCCCATGGCCACACTGCCCGTCAGTGTCGAGCTGGGTTCCCTCCAGTCTCTGCTCTTAACCCACCATAGTGAAGTGCATCCTGGATGTTCCTTCATAGCCATGTAGACATTTGTTTGTGCTTCAGCTATATGCTAGGTACAGTGCATTATTTTTAGCTATTTCAGTGAGTTTCAATCATGGGAGATTTTATTTAACTCACTTTATAGATGAGCAAACTGTATTTTGGGGTAATGTTTCTGAAATCCAGCTTAGGTCTGCCTGACTCAGGGCCTAGTAGGAGAGAGTGGCAGGTGTTAAGAGCACAGAACCTAGAGCCAGACAACGTGGACTTTATCCCAGCTTCCCCTCAAGCCAACACTTATATCTTGGGCAAGTTGGTTAATCCCACTGTGCCTAGGTTTTCTTGTCTGTGAAGTGGATTTGGTGAATCCATAAGGCTTAATGAACTAATACATGTAAAGTACTCTGCATACAGCCCAGCTCAGTAATGGTTGCTTCAAATATGTACATTGTGTTCATCATGCCTCTCTAACTTACCTTATTTTTAGGCTAGGGGAAATAATCAGAAGTAACACAGCTTAATCTATGCATCAGGTGTTCCTTGAGTTTCAGATCATGAGCACCAGCTCCCTGCAAGAGACTATCCCAGGAAGAAAGCCAAAAACATCAATTGCCTCCTTGTGTGGAGCACTTCCTAAACGTCTGGCCTGTGTTAGGCCTTCTGTGCATATCATCTCATCTAATTCTCACAGCAGAACAGCTCCTTGTGTTACACAAAGAGACACTGAAGCCCTGAGAAGCTGAGTAACTTGCTCAAAGTCACACCTCTTGTCTAGTTCAGTGGTAGAGCTGGGTCCAGCTGGCAAGTCCCATGCTGTTTCTCCAGCATCACAGACTCTCCATAACAATAATGGCTGTCATTTGATGACAGCCTGCCCTGAAAGGTATGGAGGTCATAGGGACAGTATTCCATTTTATGGAAAGGGAAATGAAGGAGCCGAGATGTGCGGTAATTTGCTGAGGGTCACAAAACTCAAAAGTGAGGGGTATATCAGATTCTGTAGGAGCAGGGGAGAAGTCTGAGAAACAATTTCAATATAAGTATTGTTTTCCTAAAGTAAACCATAGGGAGTAAAGCTCGACAGAGTCCTGGTAGGAATACACAGGTGGAAAGCTCATTCATTGCATCAGTTTTTTAAAACTTAAAAACTGCTCTAGAGCATGTGCTTCTGTTTTCTTGCCTATAAAATGGGGATATTACCCATCTCAAAGGAGGCCTTGGATGTACACCTCACCCCAGCCCCAATAGTACACGCATGAAGTATGTGTAAAGGTCATTCCTGTTTTCCCTTCCTCCCACCTCCACCCTTGCCTGAATGGCTAATACCAACTACTTTGGAATAATAGCTTCTTTCTCATTGTAGGCCTGACAGAAATTATGAGAGTTCCCCTCCTGGCAGGCAGGAGCTTCAATGAGTACCTGGCACGTCCCTGGAATTGTTAACACTTGAGGGACAGGCTACCTACAGTCTAATCAGAGAGTTGACCTAACACCCAAAAAACTAATGAACAAACCAAAGTAGATCTTAGGCATTTACAGGTATAACATTTAATGTCCCACTGTTTCCAAGCATCTCATGAGGCCTGTGGTACTGTAATTTATCTGTGTGTCCTGGCCCACATCTGCATCCCATGTGCTGTGAGGCTGGTGCACAGATGAAGCTCCTTTCCTAGCTGTTCTGTGTGGTCAGCATCCTCTTCAGAGCTCCACTTTGCCCATGTTTTTCACATTCACAGAAAAGAATTAGTTGACTTTTCAGCTCTTCTTTACTTATAATATACTCTAGGGCAATATTTGATAAAATGGGTTCCATGAATTACCCTTATCTGCAGGAGATTAACAGGTGAAACATGAGGAAGACGTGGTCAAATTAAGCTTGCCTTAGCAGCAAACCTCTCAAGAGCTTTGCTGTGCCAGTGGCCTGTGAAGCTGCTGGTGTGGTGTGGCATGTGCAAAACCATCCTGGAAACATCTCAGAGGACTGGGATCCCAGGGAACACACATTGGAAAACATTTTCAGTTGGATTTGCTAAGAGTATGCTTTTTAACTTATAAAAATCAGAGGGAAGGGAGAGGTGTAGGAACTCATTTGATTATAGGCTTGGGGGGGAAGCAAACAAGCTCTCATCTAACAACCGTCCTGTGCAGAGAGGTCTAGGCCAGGGTATCTGCTAAGAGAGGCTGAGAGAGATTCATAGGGGGTTTACAGGAGAGAGACAAAGGCTCCAAATAGTTGTTGAGAATCGAGTTTTGTGTGCATTTTGTGTTTTTCAGTGCTTAATATAACTCTTCTCTTAAATGCTCATAAAAACTGAGCGAGGCAGGTAGGCTTACCCCTTGCTGAAACTAAGGTAGCTTAAGTAACTTGCCCAGTTGCTGAAACTAAGGTAGCTTAAGTAACTTGCTCAATAGCACATAGCTAGTGGGTAAATTCAAATCCCTGTTGATCTGATTCTAAGACCTGAACCCCGAAAACAGTAGCAGACATCATGTCCTGTTCATATTGTGAAACTAATCCCAATGGTGCTGAGCACTTAGTTGGCCTGTGGGAAATCTTGGCCCCTGGTGATAGTTGACAGATGAGTATGAAATATGCACTTGAGAGGGGATGCAACCCTGAAAATCCCATCCCAGGGAGGCATGACTCATCCCTTCAATCCCCTCGGTCACCTGCCTGGCTGTGTCCAGCCTGCCTCTGCTGTGGACTTGGAGTGTTCTGCCGTTTCGGTGCAACTAAAAGTCCTCCTGGGCTGTCGCAGCCTGAGGGCCCCGCTCTCCTGCCACAGGCTGTGGTGCATCGTGCCTTCCTCCCTGCAAGCCCTTGTTTGGGTGAGGACACTGAGGAAAGAGAGGGGTTGAGTGACTTGCCCTCAGTCACTCAGGAATAAGGGAGCTATCAGTACCTGGGGTTTGAGATGAAGTCTTGTTCCTGTACATTCCATGAGGACAGGGATTGTGTCTTGGTCTCTCCTTGTGTCAGCAGCACCAAACATAGTCCCAAATGCAACAAATGCTCAGCAGAAATTCTGCAACAGGATTGCCCTGCTACAAGGGGCCTTGCTTCAGTTTGTGTCCTGACATGGTCCTCTCTCCTCAGCACTGCCCCCCAGGTGTTGAACACAAGCTCTCCAGCCCAGCAGGCAGAACATGAAGCCAAAGCCAGCTCTGCGATCTCGATCGACGAGTCGCAGCCCACCACGAACATCCAAATAAGGCTCGCCGATGGCGGGAGGCTGGTGCAGAAATTTAACCACAGCCACAGGTGCCTTGTTTTGTCTGGCCTTGCTTATTGTAGGAGGGTCCCAGAGACTCCCACAGATGGGGAGAAGCAGGGAGCTGTGCTTCCTCCCAAACACTGACAGGCACTCTGTGCTTTCCCCAGGAGAGGCAGTGGGATGGGCAAGTCCCTAAGTCTGAAGCCTTTGGTCTGGTCCCCATTCTTCCAGTAAGTGTGGCCAGTGACCAACCACTTCCCTTCTGTGGGTCTCATCCTCTTCTGTAAAACTAGGGGGTTGGATTCCACAGAGTTCTTTTAGCCACCAAACTGTTCAGAGGAAATCTCATGCCAAAGCCTAAGTGTAGACAAGATACAATTTGAAATGCTGTGGTTGATGGAGAGGAGAAAGGATGTGGTACCAGCATCCCACCTGGCTTCCTGTCCTCCCCCCATGGGGCCTCTGAAAAACACCAGGCTATTAAAGTCTGTCTGGTCTAGATCTGGTCTTTGAGAATTCTAGAGTACATGCTGTACTATCTGAAGATCATCTAGGCAGGATCAAAGCACACTACCTTCCCAAGTTTAAAAATGGGGACATAGTGATAAAGAGAGTAGCAGGGGACAACCATTGCCAGTAAAGATATTTGGCAGCTCCTTTTCCTAGAATAGCAGAATCTAAATGTCATCAGTCAAGGCCAGCTAAACCAGACCCCACATGTGGAGCCCAGGGAAGGCTTGACAGTCCTTGAGTGTTGACAGGGTCCACATACAGGGTAAGGTGTGAAACGGGTTTGGTTAGGATTACAAGAATGGGATCAGGGGAGGAGCCTCTAGGAAGAGGGACCCATATGTAGGTGGGAGTGCAGAATGATGAAGAATAAAAGGAAAGAGGTGGAGAACAGGGAAGGAGGACAGGAGAGAATTAGGTAGGCCCTGGGACCACAGTGAGGGTTACTGTTTATCCCAAGGAAAATGGGAATAGCCCTGAAGGGTTTTAGGCAAGGGAGTGATTGATCCGAGGTGTTTCCACAGGAGAGCTGTGGCCCCTCGAGAAGGGAGGTAACAGGATGTGGACCACAGAGGAAGGCACTGTTCACCCACCCCCCTCCCACTCACTCCCACTTCTCCACCAGGATCAGCGACGTCCGGCTTTTCATCGTCGACGCCCGGCCAGCCATGGCTGCCACCAGCTTTGTCCTCATGACTACCTTCCCAAACAAAGAGCTGGCTGACGAGAGCCAGACCCTGAAGGAAGCCAACTTGCTCAACGCTGTCATCGTGCAGCGGCTAACATAGCCGCCTGCCTGGCCAGCTGGCAGCCTCAGCTCCCTACTGTTTCCCCCCTGCTGGCTGCCTGTGGAGACCTCCCTTCCCCTCCTTGCACAGCCAGCAGCCCAGAGCCCTGCCTCCTCCACAGCTCCGGGCTCTTAGATCACAGTTGGACATTTGTTTTCTTCTTAGTTGCATTTCCTGGGTTTTTGTGTTGATCAATGGACTTTAAAGAAAAAAATAAAAACAACCAAAAAAATTGAAGGAATATCACCAGCATGTTTTCCAGAACCTCTCCCACCGAAGCAGGTCTGGATTTCTTTAAAACCATATTAAGCTCCAGGGCTTATGGGGACGAGAATTTCTTCCATCCTCTGTATAAAAATTGCTTATGGCACATAACACTCATCACCAGTGCGTCCACCTGCCCTCTCCAAATGACGAGTGGGGGACTTTCTTCTTCCCAGAGGGGGGAGTTGGGGAACTTGGAGACACAGGTTCCCACAAGAACAGGCCTCTTGCCAGGGTAAAACCAGGCAGCTGCAAGAGTTCCCTGGAGTGTGAAGTCAGATCTAGGTGCACACAACCCCTTCAAGTGAAAAGGCGCTTCCCCTTGCTCCCTTTGCTTACCCCCTGGGAAAGCCCAGCTCCCCAGGCCTGTCCTCTCATCACGCAGGCGGCTCTCACCCTGCTGATTCTCTGCTGCTCTGGCATCCCCTGTGAAGAAATCTGTACCTAGGAGGTAGATGGGGTATCTTCATTGGGAAACAGCTCGTGCCAACTCAAATATTTTGAGTTCAGTGTATCTTGCCTGGGGAGAGAAAGTGTCCCTGAGCTATTCACGATCATGTGTGGCAAATCAAGTGTTGACAAAGGGGTGGGTTCCTTGCACCACAAGCACAGTTTGCTGTGTTAGCGTTTGCGAGATGCTTCTGTGGAGTCCGTTTGGAGGGTGAGCGCAGCGGCAGCACATGGCTTTGGTCTGCAGGCTCCTTGACAGCTGTTCTCTGCCCTGCTGAGCTGTGACTTATAGCAGCTTGGGCAGTAGTCCCAGTCTTGGAGAGCCCTTCCCACCACATAAATGCTTCCTGTGCAGTTATGAATCACGGGGGTCTTGCATGGAAGCCTTTCCACCTCTCTATTAAATGAACCACAGACTTAGAATCAATACAACTTAGTCACCTGGTTTTGAATCAATAAGCCTCAATCCTCTTTCCAAGCTGCCATCTCTGAACACCCTCTTTCCTGCTTCACCCTCTGTAATGAGCCAAGAGCCAGCACTGCTTCCACCGAGAGCTGGGGACAGGCTTGGGGTCTCACCCAAAACTCAGTCTGAGAAAGGGCCTTGGCTTGGCGCTCCTGATCCCAAACTGGCAGGGGGAGGTAACAACCATGGGAAGTACAGGTCTGGAAAAACCTTGTTTTTGTCACCTTAACCATTAAAAACCAGAATGAGGACAGTGGAGTTCGTACTTTTTAGTGGGTTGCTTTGAAAATGTGTAAAAGCAAACATTGTAAGTGCTTCAGTGCCTGGTTACAGTCAAAACCCAGAGTGTAGGTCACACGGCTGGTAAGTTGTAAGGTGCTGTCTGCTTCAGGTTTTCTGCTTACATTAGTTAGTACACACCAGAAGACACTGTAAAAATGCCACCTAAAATGTACATCATCTAGAAGAGTTCACAAAGCGCTCTTTGGGTTCCCACCCAGCCCTGCGAAGTGGGTGAGGCAGCTGCTTGGATTGTTGTAACCACCACAGTTCAGACTGGCCGCCTGTCTGGCCCGAGGTCAGAGGGGTTGCCACCCACAGTCAGGAATCACAGTGGTCTGGATACAGGCTGGGCAAGGATGTTTTCAGTCCTAGTTTTCTGAGTGGCCAAAGTGGAAAGGCCCTTCCCCCCAGCTAGGCTTTCACAGGTGTAAAGAAAAAGGATTCTCAACAGCCATTGATTCTGGGGCTTTTTAATTCAGGGCAGTTACTCTCAACTGAGGCATTCAGTTAATCTGTGAGGGCATTTTGGATCATCCCAAAAACTGGTTGATGAGCTGGGGAACCTCCTGGCATTCAACAGGCTGGGCCAAGAATATATTGCAAAGCATGGAACATGTCCTGGTGGGCCAAGGATGTATTGCAAAGCATGGAACATTTCTGAAATTCAACACTGAGTGAAAAACACAAGTTAGCCATCATGATGATGCCCCACCAGGCTCATTTGAAACTAGTCTGTACTGTGGCACATGTGCAGTGTTTCTCTTTGGCCTTATAAAGCACCATGCCAAACCCTGCAGGTAGAGTTTGGGGTACACCTGGTTGCTTCCTCAAGAGATGCCACAGGAGAAAGCAGGCACGTGTGCAAGAGCCGGGCATATCTTTATTAGAGTCTTTGGATAGCATTGACAAAGTGTCCTCCTGAGCAGTAGCCCCCATTTCCACACCTGTCACAATACAAAACGTGCCTGTCTGCACCAGAAACTCCTGAGAGCAGACTGAGCTCACTGGGGAAAGTAGCTGGTGCAGAAATGTGCACGCCCTCTATCCTAACCACTAGCATTTTTAGGGGGAACTGCTGTCAGGAATTCTTCCTCCCAGCGCCAAATAAACGGAGGTCTTCCTTCTTTACAATGGGTATTGCTCCTGTGTCATGCACTGTGGCTGGGGCCTCTCATACCCTCTTCCAGATCCTCTCTCTTAGGCCAAGCCAGGGAAGCAGAGCAGAGATCACATTGTTGGTTTTTAGTGTCTAACCCAGGTCCCGGGCTGAGCAAGCTCCTGTGCCCTGTGACTACATGCCTCTCTCTTCCAGTGGCCCCATGCCTCACCCCACGTCCAGTCCATCACCAAGTCCCATGAGGTCTGCTGCAAATGCACCCCTAATCCAGCCACTTGTCTTCCCTGCCCCATGATCTCCTGGGCCCAGCCTCCATCCTCTCTCACACCGACAACTGCAAAGACCTCATTGGTCCCTGCTTCGGCCCTTGCTCCTGACGACCTGTTTACACACACACACACATGCATCACATCCATCACTCCCTTCCTTTAAGCCCTCAGGAGCTCCCATTACCCCTGGAAACTACTTCCCAGGGCCTGAAGAGCCCCAGAGGACCTTGCACCTGCCGCTCTTGCTATCACCTTGTCCTCCTTTAATTTCCTTCCTATCCTGTCACCATCTGATGCACTGTACACTCTGTGTGTGTGTGTTTCCTTCACCCTCCACTAGATTATAACTCCATCAAGACAGGAGTTTTTGTGTTCATCACTCTATGTGCCTGACACATAGTAGGTCCTCAACAACGCATTGAGAACCTTACAAATGAGATAAGACCTCCCTGTGTACAAGATGACGACTGAGGCTTACAGGGCCCCATGTAGTACATGCTTAGCTAACTGTGGTCCCTCTCTTCCTCCCAGAGCAAGTTCTCAAGTTCTCAATCAGCCACAGGGGGCATACTTCTAAAGGGCACCTGTGGCTTCCAGCAAGGGCAGGAAGAAGGTGGAGCTAAAAACAGGTGTGTATGGCATGGAGCACAAGGTGCTAAAGGAATGCTCCCCAGCACTTCCCCTCCCCGCCTGGGCTGCACTGGGATGTTTATTAAGGGCCAATTATTCTCCATATTGAGCACCTAAGACCCTCGATGCCAAAACCAGGTCTTAAAGCTACTACTGATGATAATAGCAGTTGCCATTACTTGAGCACAGTGTGCCAGGCCCTGTATGTACCTTACCTCATGGAGTTTGATACCAACCCAGAGGTGCCATGATCAGCCCATTCTATGGAAGAAGACACTGAGGCTTATCAAGGTATGGGACTACTCTGAAATCACACACCACAAGAACAGCAGAACCAAGAGATGTCTCCCAGTGCCTGACCACCTGGCTCTACTGCAGTGCAATGGGCTGTGGCCCATGGACAGAGGCAAGAGGAATGACTGAGACAGGTAGGGAGAATCAGGGAGGGCTTCTCAGAAGGTGGCAGCCTCGAGCTGAGTTGTAAGGATGATCATTGGTTGGTTCTTTGACAAGGAGGCAAAAGGTTTTTCCCTCCTCAAGAGCAAAAGGACATGTGAAGACATGGGGCAGGCAGATCTGGTTTTGAGTCATACTGTTAGGAATGTTGGGTAGAAAGACTCGAGCAGCCAGAAAAGGGGAAAGATAAGGTTCAAAGAGAAAGCTGCCCAAGCTCTGCCCAGGGAGGGGGTCTCATGTGAAGACCACAAAGGCTTTGCAGGGAGATAACTTCCGCCTCAACCAGATCCCAACGGGGGCACAAATGGACAGCATGAAGAAGTGCCCATGTCGCACCTCGGCCTGGGGAAAGGACATGGTCACTTAGAGGGAGGACAACATAGAAGGACCTGTAAATCAAATAACCCCACCTTGGCAGTCAGAAAGGCACCTCCTAAAAAGAATGCAATATATAAGTCTCCCTCCGAACAGATGGAGGCATTTGTCTACCTTGACTACAGCCTGCTCCTCCCTTGGGGTACATTCAAATAAACCTCCCCTGTGCTTCGCTGTTGTGTCTCTCCCTTCCAGTTCTTTGTTGCAGTGGAGACAAGGACTGAGGAGAACAAACTCAACCCAAAAAAATAGCAGGTATGACCTTGGACAAGTCACCTAACCTCTGGGCTCTGAGAGAGCCAGTGCCAGGGACAGCATCCGGTTCCTGCTGAGGGACAAGAGTAAGATCCCCTTGGACACGTGGAATGGGAGAAAATTGATGAAACCAAAAATGGACCCCGGGGACCTGGACTGAAGGCCTTCCTCCTCAACTCACTTCTCTCTCTCTCTGCTTTGCAGTTTTCTCAACTTTAAAAATGGGTTCCCAGCAGGATTAAAGGAATCAATAATACATATAATGCTCTTAGCCAGTGACCTGTATTATTAGTAACACTGTTACCCAAACCTCTGAGTTCCTGTCCCCAGATCAGCCAGTATTGTTGGTTTTGACAACCACACTCCAGCCTCCAGGGCAGACTTGGGTCACCTAAAGTTCCCGCACATAATAAAGTTTATTAGAAGAGTTCATAATAACAAGGTAGCAGGTTAGCTCCAGGGACCCACGCACGTTTTCTCCCTGGACCCAGAGTTCCTCCTTTTCTAGATCATTTTTCAACCAGGAGCCTGCAGATCAAGGCTCCAATCAACTGAGATGCAGAAGGCTTTTACCAGGTGGTTTATCAATGATACTCATCCCCCAAGCTGATGGGACAGCTTCCCCTCCAGGCAACACAGACATGTCCCAAAACCCTCAGGAGTGACCAGAATT